AGAATCTGAAAAGTACAAGAATCAGTTAAGAACAGGTGGTGAAGGAAGTCAGACCAGGGGTCTCTTTTCACAAAGCTGTTCATTGAATTCTGTTCTAAAAACCTTGGAACAAAACTGTACATTGTTTCACTAGTGATGGATGATTAAAACTGGATGGAATATTAGAGCAAACACAGATATGAACACACCAAGAGTTAAAAAAACCAAAAAAACCTCAATTGAAGCACTGGGAAGACACGAAAGACCGAAGCTTAAAGCAGCATTTTTAGCATTATACTCCGCTGTGCTTTGTACCCCCTACCATTCAAATATTTTGTTCATTCATAGTTAAGCTTGGCAAATATAAAATGAATTGAACAGTACCTTAATATCCATTTTCATTCTCACTTTCCTGTTTTTGGACCGGTGTTTTAGAGAACAGAGGTGTCCTTCAAAACCTTTATTTCTACCCACATCTTTACACACAGGATCATTTAATGATTACAGATTTCTGCTGAGATGCATCTGAACTATGTATCACACTGGTACAACAACAAGAAAAGTCTTTTTCACAGCACCATACCAAACAGATTTTGACTGAACCAGCAAGAAGGAACTTGGGCATTAATTCCTTGCAGTATTAGTAGGTTTATCAATGGAAAGCTGGTCCAGAATACGTCACATTTCATTCCACTAGCTTTTTGCTGTCTCCCTCCTAGAACTAAGCCTCACTAGAAACCGAAACTACAGAACAGCAATGAAGTGCCCATAAATGCCTTAGTGACTGCAGTCGTCTGTTTTAAAGTATTACATGTTTTGTAGTTTCCATTCCTATGACAACAATGTCATCTATGTATTAAAAGGTAACACATAAATTTCCAACACCTGCCTTAAGCTGCCTTCTTTTTCCACCACGCTTTTGTAGTCCTGTCAGGAAGGTACAGACACACAGACTCCTAGAATGGTTTGGGTTGGAAGAGACCTTAAAGATCAGCTAGCTCCAAGTCCTTCCACTAGACCGAACTTCTCAGAGCCCCATACAGCCTGGTTTGAACATATCCAGGAATGGAGCACCCATCCATCCTCTGGGAAACCTGGACATGACTGGAATTCTGGGCTGCAAGCACACATTGCCAAGACACCTGCAACGTGGGGAGCTATTTTACTGCTATCCTTCTCTTTATTAAACGTCTTGCACCCACTTTTTAAAATACTCCATACCTTATTCGATACTACTCTTCTACTGAAAACAAGGAATAGGGGCCCTGGAACACACAGCCTGTTCTGAGACTGCAGATGGCACCCCAGGCGTCAGGTTTTGCCCATCTGGACCATTTCAAGCCACAATCCTGGCAATTCATCCGCAGGCAGCGTGACAGCCGAAGGCACACATCCCGGCCCCGAGGCACGGAACCCGCTGGGACACACGACGAGGCCCATGCCCGCCACGCTGCCCGGAGGGATGCCGGAGATCCGGCCGCTGTGTCGGCTATGGAAGCGCCTCTCCCCCGCTGCAGTCCCGGCCGCAGGGATTCCGGCGGGCGCTCTCCCTCCCCGGGAGGCACCAGCCCGGACCGGCACCGGGACAGCGCCGCTGCCGCTTCCCGGGCGCGGAGCAGGTGCGGGGCGGCGTCCCCCCTCTTCCCCGTCTCCCGCATCCCGCCCCGACAGCGGCCGCACAGGAGAGTCCCACGGCGCCGCATCCCTGCGGGCGACGCCGCCCCTGCGCCATGTTGTAGAGAGGGACGCGCGGCGCCGCCTCCCCCACTCCCTCCCCGCGGTCGCTACTCACCGGCCGCCGCGGGGCACAGCAGCGGGGCCGCCGCCAGGCACAGCAGGGCCCAGGGCCACCGAGCGGCCGCCGCCGCCGCCATGGCCGGGTCTCGAACCCGCGCCAACCCCGCCCCGCGTCCCCCGGCCGCCGCACGGACGGACGGACGGACGGACGGAGGGATGGAGGCACGGGCGGGATCTGCCGCTGGCAGCGCCCCCTCCCGCCAGCCCCGTGCCGCCGCCCGCCGCGCCCATTGGCTGAGCCGCCCGGCCAGGCCCCGCCCCCGCCCGGCCGCCGCGGACATTCCAGAGGGAGCAGAGCGCGGGGGGGGTTGGGGGCTGTGCTGACCCCCCCCCCCCCTCCTGGAGCGGCAGGGCCATGCCCGGAGGGAGCACTCGGGCTCGGTCTGAAAAGAGGACTAAAGACAGGAGAGGAGAAGGAGGCACAGACTCGGTTGAATTAGTTTATTTCTGTTTTTATATAGTACTTGCATTATTAGCATAATTCTGAACATCATTGTTAAAGCATTGGTGGAAGCCTTACAGTACTTAAAGGGGGTTATGAAGAGAAGGGAGAGTGACTTCTTATTCAGGCAAATAGTGACGCCACAAAGCGGAGTAATGTATAACTGAAAGAGGAGATGTTTAGATTAGATATTCGGAAGAAATGCTTTACTCAGAGGGTAGTGCATTACTGGCGCAGGTTGCCCAGAGGAGCTGTGGATCCCCTATCCCTGGCAGCGTTCAAGGCCAGGCTGGATGGGGCTCTGAGCACCTGGTCTAGTGAAAGGTGTCCCTGCCTGTGGCAGGGGCTTTGGAACAACACGGTCTTTAAGGTCCTTTCCAACCCAAACCATTCTGTGATTCTATGATTGTAAGGCAAGTTTATAGCCTTGTTTTCCGCTTAAAATTACTTTGTGTGTGCATTGACTGTGAGGGAGAAGTGGTCTCACTGGCCCCAAGCACGGGCTAGGAAGGGGAATGACCCCTGGGCTGAGAGGACAGAGATGAGGAGGCTGTCGTGGCTACACCATGATGCTAACCCATCATCGGTGTCAGATTCGGTCCACAGGACGTACAATTAAAGTCTGTAACTGAAGAACCCTCTGCACAGTACGGCCACCACTGCTGTTTATTTTCCATGCAGAGATTAGACTACTCCCCCCCACCTTTTTTTTTTTTAAATAAGAATTAAAGGGAATTGAAATGTAAGCTATCCAATGAAGTTAAAATAAATTTAAGTTACTCCTCATGCAACCGTTTTGCCTTGGTCATTCCAAGGTGAATGGATCAACTTCTGACAACTCCAGGCTTTTTGGATGAGCACCTTTGCATTCCACTATCAGATTTTCCAGCAATAGTAAAACAGGAAAATTTTGAAGAATCCATGGAATTCAGTGTCCCAGAAATTGCTTTTCCTTTTTCCAGTCTAATATCCCAGTGACCTCCTTCTCTGAAGACAAGCTACCAAGCTATTAATGACTCTATGGTCTTATATAGTCTGGACAATCTGTAGAAACCCTTTAATTCCAATATCGAGATATAAATGGTCCAAAAAACAAACCAATGCAATACAGGAGAACAATAAGTTGAAAAAGTTTTCTCTCTCTCTCTCTACACCAGTATAGAGTGATTAAAGTGTATTACTTCTTTGTCGACCAAAGCTGTAAAAAATAACAGTACAGTTAGTTGCATTTTAGTTTGAAGCCTTTTATTGCTATAATTGTGAATTCAAGAAAGTGAAGTCTCAACTGTAACCTGATTACACAAAAATCTTTTCACACGAGGACAGAAATGGTGCTGGTATGTAAGTGAGGTTACATGTTAGTTAAATATCAGGGCTTTCCCCCGCGATCCAAGGTTAGCTTCTGCTGATTTTCTATCTTGGGACTTATAATTCACGGCGAGCCCACGAGGCGGCAGCAGATCCCAAAGGAAAATTAGCACGATGGCTGAATTTGTGAATTTGTGGGCTGGTTTAGATTCTCTGAAAATACCGGGGGCCTGAACAGTTTAGATGCATTCTAAATTAGCCGTAATGCTAAATGGTTTGATCTGGCTTGATTTTGGATGAGGGCGAACTGCTGTCCATCCCGCTTTCCCTGAGCGCCCCTTATGTGCCAGGTCATTAGCAGCAGTAATTTGTCCCCCAAGCAAACAGGCAGGGAGAGGATGCGGGTGGGTCTGACAACCCAAAGGTCGTTCATAGTCACACCAAGTCACCTCTTCAGTTCCAGATGGAATATTTGAGACCACTGAAAGTATTTCCTGCACTTTAAAGCAGCAAACTGAACTTTGAAATAATATAAGCTTCTAAAATTTGGCTTTCTGTAAGGGAGATATGAAGTTTAAACTAATTGTTCTAGAAAGCAAAGACCTTTGTCCTTGAGAGTTTGGGTGCTGAATCTGCAGGCTACTGTTTTCCATTTAAAACATGTGCATCGGCCTTTTCAAAGCAGCATCCGTTTGAAATTGAGTCCGACCCAGTATTTAAGAATGAGAAGTGGAATTCTGGGACTTGAAATAATTAAATGCCTCAGTGTAAAGCAGTTTGCTACAAGTATGCTGACAGCATAATTTTAAAGTTTGGTGGTAAGACAGAAATCATTTTTCAAGTGTTATCTTGTTCTTGTTGCTCCTGTCAACTGCTAAGGGAAATGGAATACTTTATTCTGTATTTCCTGTTGGCTAGAATATAATAATGTCTGCTCATTCAGCTACACTTTTAGTATTACCTTGAATAATTAGTTCATTATATTTTGTGTTGAGTAGCATTTGGTCCCGCCTTCTTATCCTAAAAATTGCTGAATGTTACTCCATAGTTTATGTTGAAGTCTCCCTCAGCAATAGGTGAAGATTCTGTTAGTCACTGAGTTGCTGGTCCACAACCACATTCTACTGAAAGAGCTCTGACATGATCAGGATCCCCTCAGAAAGTAAAATGATGCCACATTTTTCTTGAATCCAAATTGTCAGTGTGGCAAATCTCTGTGTGTTTCGGCAGAGCACTTTGTGGACCGAAGAGAGTCTCCTGTATTTTTGTATCTCGTTTGAGATGTGCAGTGTTGCTTTGTGGTAATTCTCAGGATATCTACACCTTGCAATTGGAAAGGTGCTTACAACACTTGTGAATTTACCCTAATTAGCATTAATTTGCCTAATCTGTGTATCAACAACTAGATACCTGCATGATAAGCCAGTGCCAGGCTCCTAGCGGGAGCTGAGTCGTTTTCCTGTGCTGGGGCTTGTTCGGTTTCATCTCCAGGTTGGAGCCAAGGCAGGGCTTTACAGCTGCCTCAGATGTGTCTCCGGGCAAACGGAGGGGAACCGTGGGAGCAGTCCTGGGGCTGTCCCTAACAAGCTGCTCGCTAGTAAGTGAGGCTGTTGCCTGTTTCTTCGGGCTAAGCTTGGATTTCCACAACAAAGCCTCTTTCAAAGAGATTTTTTTCTTAAACAGGCAAACCTTGTTCAGGCAAAGCTTAGCGACATTATATTGTCTCTGTTAGATTTCAGCCAGCATTTTCCACCTGACTTTCCAAATAATTAATATGAATAGGAAAGATTATTTTCAAATTACTTTTTTTTTTGTTTTGATTTTTTAACCCAGAAAACTAGATTTATATTAAAAGGAAAAATGTTAATACAAAAGGTGGGTTTGATGGCTGCTATTACACACATCAGAAGCAGTGTGCATTTATGCTGATACAAAATGCTGTATATAAAGCAACACAGATGTGAGATTAAAGCCAGTTAAAGATGTACAATGCCTGCAATTAATTTTGAGCAAGTTGAACATGTGGTGCATATTAGAGTTCATAAAATCTTGCCATAGGCAAATAATTTATGTTGCATACATCAAGTCTGGAAGGATAGTCAACTGAAAGTTATTAAATAATTGAAGATTATATAATTAATTAAAATTTGCTTTGAAGGTAATAAAGAAGTAAATAGGATTGTGTCACCATCAGTGAGCGTAAGGTAAGAAACTATTCTATGATTTCAGAAAGGAATTTGAAATGGATTTCATGTTTGCTCAGAAACAGTTTTGATGTTCATAAAGGTACTATAAGAAATCTGTCTCTGCCTCACATTGCATAACTTTTCTCAGCAGAGCAAACCACCTAAAACTAAAGTTACCTGTCAGTCTAAATTTTAAGCTCCTGAAATCAGTTACAGGGTTAGAGCGGTGTCTGCTTCTCTTCAAATGAGAATGCTGAGTGAAGTAAAATACACTTCTTGGTAACAGAACTTATGAAGTGCATAGTTTAAAACCAGGTTGTGCACGGATGGCAGCATCAAGACCATTTTATTTTCTTTGACAGAGAAGAACTTCATCAGTGAAGTGTAATTACGATGTCCTTCCATGCTAAAGAAGGTGGCGCTAAAAATAGTGCCCAAAGAAATCACTAAGATACATGTCTGCTATTTGGTCAGATGCTTTTAGTTCTCTATGCTGCTTTGTATGCTCTGCAGTCTCTGTGCTCTCTACTCTTTATAATGGAAGTATTAACGGATCTGTATTAATTTGTTGCCTTTAAGACCACTGCAGGAGGGCCAGAGTTGCTACAAAGTGTCTGGAGTACCTTCATGTAAAAGACCCTCTAATTGGACAGATAATTTCAAAATTATTTCTAGAATAACATTGAGAGATTGATAGAAAAAAAAAGAAGCTGATTTTCATTTTGAGAAGTTAGAAATGAGGGAGATTACACTGGCAGATCCTGGAGTTTGGGAATGTGGGAAAAAAAGTGTTTCAAATGGAATCATGTTCAGCCCAGTCAAATCCTAATTATCTAAATTTGAATCTAAACTCAAGCTTGGCACACCTGTACCATAGCAGAGATGGGCTATTCTTATACCAGTTGATATTCTATCTTCTTGCTGGCCTTGGCTCACCATCCAAGGGGACAAATAACAGCCTCTAGCTGGTGATGACATATCCATGTGTCATCTGTGTCTTTGGATACAGATAAAATGGATATTCATTTTGCTTTTCAACTCAGGCTTCTGTAGCAGCAGTGCATCTGCCAGCATTTCATAAGCATGGGCTGGAGATAGAAAAGGATGTGTTGAAGAACACTGAGAATGCCATATGGAAATTCTTCTGTGGATTATCCCACTGAATCATCTAGTTGTGTATAGGATTAGTTACTTCTCCATATGGTGTTTAAGGACCAAATTGCTTCTGGAATGTTTTCCAAAGGTTATTTTTATGTTTTCCTGTACTATGGAATTGAGTTCAAAATTGCATCATAACCTGCACCTACAGTGAGATATTTTAAAGAATCCAAAGAGCCTTATTCATTTTATTCCATGTTTTAACAGCTATAATTCTCTCTCAATTAGTAACCTTAGAGGACTGTATACAATTAATTCACTGCTATACATTTATTTCCGTGTGAACAGTCTGCAAGCTTTGCAGAAAGGGGTGTGGGAGGTATGAAATAATTTATGCTGCTAATTGACAATTGTGCAGTTGCTTCTACTTTCAAACAGGAAAAAAAAATCAATGTAGACTGGCAGGTTAAATAAAAAAGGAAGGGGAAGGCAGAAAATTCCATTTTTTGCAACCAGTTTGTGTCATACTATTTAAATCAGTCTTAGTTAAACTTGCTAAAACTAATCAGTTTAGCTACAATGAAATTGTTTTATTCTTGCTGTTCCATAAATTAGCTATCAAGTTCTGTCAAGATAACATTATAATTACATGAATTACAGATCAGTGCCTATTCCTATTTGTACCTACGCTTCAATGACATGAGTGAATTAGGGTAGAACTTTGGTAGTATGCATTAATCCAGAATACTTCTCAAATTGCTTTAAAAAATGTTGAAAGGTGCCTTATTTATCCCATCTTATGTAGCTGTTTGTAATAAAAATATATAGAGAGATGTATAATTTACGTATTAAGAGTGAAGGAAGTTATTTAGAGAACTCTGATGTCTTTGCTAGGAAAGGAGAAGAAACGTGGAGAGAGGGAGTCGAGCCTAGGGACAAGGCAGTGGGGTAGTGAGAGCAAGAGCTGTATAAGGGAACATAAAATTGAAATTGACTGCTTGGAAACACTGCATGCACTTCATGCTTCAGCTGCCTGGGTTCCTTCACCAGACACCTCTTCCTACATTCTTAGTTGTGCTGGTGGATTGTCATCCTCCAAAGCTCAGTTCCTCCAGTGGAGCAGAGGCAGATGTGGGTATCAACATCTCAAAAGCTGTGAGCCTCTCATCCTTCTGTGTGGCCACATTCTTCTCACGAAAAGCCTGAGAATAAGCAGCCTCTCAAAAATATGTTGAAGTCCATCACATAGCATTTTAAAAGGATAAAATTAAAGAGTAGCTTAGTTTAAAAATGTTCTTACTAGTGCCAAAAAAGGAAAATCAAGTAATAATATACAGATGTCGCCAATTAAAGAAGTGATGTCCTTTATGCATACCTGTATACCTTACATGCACTATTTGTTATGTTTCAATTCAGTAGGCAGCACATATGGAAGATACATTAATGAAATGAAACCTGGGAAAGGGGGAAATGTTCTTTATCAAGCGGTACTTACATCTTGTACATTTAGAAGTGCCAGAGCATTTTCAAAAACAGAACTGAAATTTTATCTTTAAAACCCCTTACAAGGTCTGAAATCTCTCTTGTGTGTTTTTTGCTGTTCTGTACCTCCTAGATTTGAAGATACAGGAAAAATAGTGAAACGCAATCCTAAGTGGTACTTAAAATTCTTCTGCAATTCCTAAAGAGCTATCTATAAATGAAAGTGTATTTATAGTAGTTAGAAATGGAGTTTCATGATGGAACAGAACAGAATGTGGGAGTGCAGCAGAGGATGCAGCCTTAATGTAATGACCAAAGTATGTAATGACCTTAAGTGTAATGGCAGCCACCTGTTCTCACACAAGCAGCCCCTTTTATCCCTTTCCCCTCTCTTTTCTGATGCTTGTTCCTTCCCTTCCTCCCTTTCCCCACGTTTAGTTCCTTCCCTAAATGTGCTGTAGCAAGTCCAGCCAGAGGCCAGATGCAGAGAACGTCTCCAGCAGCAGGATCATCCACAGGGACTCACAGCTGGACAGCAAGGTTGATGGCTTTCCCAGGGAAGCTTTGGAACAAGGGCTTCATTCCTGTTACTGGGCTACAGGGATTCCCCATCCTGCCTCCGTGCTTCTTGTATTTGTGGGGATGAACTGTTCCTCACATCAGCCAACATTGGACCAAATAATATAATTCACTCTTTGATTTCTCAGTGTGTTACCTGCAGGCCCAAGAAAACCTGGACACATAATTAGGTAGTTGTCTCTGCTTCACCAGCCTTTTGGTAACCAGGCTGACATCATCTCCTTTTTAAAGGACATGGGGGATTTTTATAGTTATGCTAGGAAACCAAAATGGGGAAGAAAGAAATTTTCATACCTATTAAAAGCTGCTCAGAATATAACTTGAAGGACACATGCAATAATGGAAGTAAAACAAGTTAAGAAGGCCCCCAATGAACAGAGAAAACCCAACAGGTGAAAGCAGACCACATGTCTAGAGCTAGTACGCTTGCAGGGATTTTGCATTCCTTAACCTTCCTCTTGCATTCCCTGAATTTTTCTCCAAGGAGCATATTATCAATCATGTATCCCTGTGAAGCGTATGCAGCTTCTGAATATCTTACCTATGAGCAAAACATGGTGTATTAAAGAACAGTGTGAGGCTTTGAAGCTACTATTTCTACAAAAGGCCTAAAGACTCCATCTTGGTCCTAAAAAGATGCAAAAGCAGCAAACAAAGCAAACTCATTCTTTCCAGAAGGCACCAAGGGCATGTTTTCAGGTGCAGTGTAGGTAAGGGAACAGAGGACTCAAGCCCATGGATCTTCTGGCTGATGGAGTTAATGGTTGTTATTTTTATCCTGTTTATTATTGTGACACAGCAATTTTTGTATTAGTAGTGCAATTCTAATATTGCTAGTTAATCACTACAGGACTGACACATTGGCAAGGCATCCCTAGTTCTACTTACAGATTTAGAAAAATTCTAATTTCCTTTTTCTTTTTGACTCACCATTATTAAATGTTACTGCTCATAGAATAAGAGCAAATGCTCACACGTCAATGTGCTTATATGTATTAAAGCCATCAGCCAAAATTGAGTTGTCCAAAAGTTTTGCCATGTACCATTTTCTTCCAAGTCTAGGATTGTTTACAACATCTGATCAGTTCTTTGTCCAGAAATGTGTAAATGCAAGGCTTAAAATTAAGGAAATAATTCAAAATGAAAGTTAAATTCATATAGATTTGAAGTTAGCATTATCACATTCAATTGATCAGTATTATCTATTTAATACCAAGTCTGCGACATAGGCTGAAATGCTACAGCAAAGCAAAAATGCTGTCACAGGAAGTGGCAGATTATTTCATCTGTGTTAATTAAACCTTGACATTATCACAGATTGGCTTGAGCTGAAAAGGACCATAAGAATTATATAGCTCCAACTCCCAAATTACTGGAAGTAATTAATTTCCAACTGTTGAAAGTAATTAATTCCAAACTTCTAGAAGTTGATAGCTATCTGACTGTATTGCTTAGTGAGAAAAAGTGAGATAAGTAGAGTATTGTCTTCAGATTATTTCAAGGTGGGTTGCTCATCACAGGAATTAAAAAACCCAGCTGAAACAATGTTGGGACTTGTTATTTTGGTAGCTTGTGAAGGATTGGGAATGTACTGAAAGATTAGGATGGTGGGCAGTGATTCTTTTGAAGAGGAGCAAAGGAAAGAAATAGGAATTTTTATACCAATCATTTTATTTTGATTGTTTGGGGGCAAATTATCCACCCTGAATCAGTCATCTGACCTTATTTTTGAGTACCACCACGACAGCAAGCAAGAGTCAACAAGTATTGTGTTGCAGATGGGTGGTGGCATACATAAGTTATTTTCCTTCACCAGAACAGAGGCAAGGAAAATTTGAGTTGGACATAAAAATCCTTTCTAAAGATAAGGCTAATGAAGTTTTGGAATGTAGGGCCCAGAAAAGTTGAAGAATATCTACCAGAAACAGTCTGGCAAATATTTCAGAAATAGTCTATGTAAATGTTTACCAAGCACATGGATATGGCTTCTCTCCCTTGGGAGGAGTGTGAAAGCTTTGATGATTTCCAGAATCTTTTTCAGGCCCTTTTTTCCTCTGAATCTCTGCACAGTCCTACAGACTTTATATAGGGCCTTCACAAACAGGGCAGAGTCTCATGTAAGGGGCTCTTTTTTGGCATCTGAAGTGCTCATGGACAAATCTGGAGCAGCTGGAAGCACCCTTCTTCTGGCTGGTCCTTTGCCAGTGACCATCTGTAAGTGTCTGCTGGAAAAGAAACCAAACAAATGGAGCTGCTGAGATTTTTCAGCCTTTCTGGGCATTAAAACCCAAAAGTTTCATTTTCAATCTCAGAATAAGACCCGATCACCCCAAAAGACAGCACAAACAAAACTGTTTTGCCTCTAGGAAATGGTCTTCATTTGAAGACATTTTCTAAATGTCAAGACTTATCTCCCACATTCAAAACCTCCTAGTTTTCATCCTTTTCTAGCACAAAGTTCAAACTCCTTATTGCCCATCCAATTTTCTGTGTGACACCTTCTTGTATTTTAAGATGTAGTAGAAACAAACTGGGATTACATCTTATACGTGTTACGGCCTCAAATGCTTCTAAGGACACAGAAATTGAGGGTGTGTTTTACCATGTATTTGCAGGAGAAATTCTGCTTGCTCTTGCCTTGGGCAGTCTCCCCATATGCTGCAGTGCTATATCCACAACAACTGCAGCAACCTCCTGACATCACCACTCTGCTCCACAAGGGTTTTTTTCAAGAAGAGCTAATGAAAAGAGTCTGTTCTAGTAATCACACCCAGAGGAATTACAGATATTATGAAAGAAGTGACAAATAACAGCATATAATTAATTTCAAGAAAATGAGTTATATATCTCTTCCTTTCTCTGTTGCCACTGCAGCTGCTTGAGTGTATGACTGACAGCAGTAAATCTTGGCAAAAATCTGTGCTTTGAGTATAGTTATAGAACTATTTTCTTCAGAAGAACATATAACAGAGGTCTGAGAAAGCACAGTGCAGAAAATACATAGTTAGATAAAATTGTCTCAGTCTCAATTAGCTTTCCACACTTATGCAGTGGTTTATGTGTTTTAATGTAGAACATTGCAAAATTAAATAATAGTCCATTTACAAGTTATATTAATTATTTTAAACAACTATTAAATTGTTTAAATGAAATGAAATCAATTTAAATACTTTTATAACAATTTAAATTATTCTTAAAATGACTGTTCAATGATTTTATTATGTAATCTTAAATTTCAAGAGGGGAAAATCAGGAAGGTTTTGAAAAAAACATCATGACTAAAGGCAGTTTAGATTAAGAGTCTTTTCTAGTAATATTTATTATTTACTGAGAAGTTATCCTTGTTGGGTTTCTGCCTTGTTTCTGCATCACAGTTTTTATCATCACCTCAGCCATCAGCACTTGTAATTAAAAAACTTACATTCTTTTGGGAAGTACAATGCAACAGAACAGACACTGAGGATTTCATCACAGTCTTTTTATCCTGTTTAGCCTTTTCCATGTACAAGTGAATGAATCATTAGCCACGTCTTATCAACTGTGAGGTATTAGAGTTAAGGTAGTAGGACTCCTGATGAGATTGCTCTGTTATTCCTGAAACTAAATACCACATAGTGTTGTGCATGCAAAGTGAGATGTCCAATAAATGCTACATATTCTCACAGCAGATTTATTAACTTTGAGAAGAACAGGTTATTTTTAATTCAGAATTTATCATAAAATGATTATTTTTCAAATAATGAACATTCCTTACTGAGGTCAGCAATGCAGTGGCACAATTAAGGAAGATAGTTTTATTTTTTAGTGCTTATGTGCTGTTGCTGGTTTACCCTCTGGTCCAAATAATTTAACATGTGGATAGACGAGACCACTTGCAACAAAAAGTAAAAAAAATTAAACAGTTATAAATTATCAACTACATTACTTAAACAGTGCCTCAGTTTCGTAGTAGTAACGTTGAATTTCTGCTGAAATTTCTTGATGTCATGTCTGACGCAATGAAACCTAAAAGAAAAAGGAAATTCTTCTCATCAACTTGTGTTACTGTGCTTGCATTTGAAAATAATTTGATATAGCAGGGGTGAATGGATAAATCTGTCAGTACAGCTACTAACGCCTGTATTTGTTTTAAGAAAAAAAAATCAAAGCACATTTCTTGTCCTTGTCAAATGATCTTTTTTGTGCCAATGACTATGAACTCACTGATCAGTAAGAGTTGTATTCTACAAAATCAATTCCTTCTTGGTGTTATTCCTTCTTGCTCTTGGTAAAGAGCACTTTTCTGTTTCAACAATGCTCTTGGTTTAGCCCCAGCCAGAAGCCACGCCCTATGCAGCCACTTTCTCACTGTTCTACCAGCAGAACTGGGGAGACACCTGGAACAGTAAAAGCTGGAAAACTCATGGGTTAAAATGAAGACATGTTTTTCCATCCCCAGGAGAGCAGGACCCCATCCCTTACAACAAATTGGGAATACACACACCATCACTCCAAATGTCCCCCCACCTTCCTCCTTCCTCCCTCCACTTTATTTACTGACCATGATGTCGTGTGGTCTGGAACATTGCTCTGGTCAGTTGGGGTCACTCCACCTTTCCTGGCTGTGTCTCCTCCCAAGCACTCCCACATTCATTGCCAGTGTGGCAGTATGGAAAACAGAAAAGGCCTCGGTTCTGTGCAAGTCCTGCTCAGCAATAACAAAAATATCTCTAAATTATCAGCCCTGGGCTCAGCACAAATCCAAAACAGCCACACAACAGCCACTGTGAAGAAAATGAACTCTATCCCAGCCAAAACCAGCACAACAACTTACTAAGTAAAATTTGGTTTGATTAGGATTTAAGTAAGTGAATAAATGACGTAAATAATATTAGACAGATTTGTAATGGGCACTCTTCTTCAGTTCCATAACATACAAGGTAACCTGAATGTTTGTTGTTTTAATTTGAAAAAAGGAAATTAAAAGCCTCTGAATC